GCAGGGTGTCAGCACAGTCAGGTGTGGCAGGGTGTCAGCACAGTCAGGTGTGGCAGGGTGTCAGGCAGTCACCTGTGGCAGGGTGTCAGGGAGTCACCTGTGGCAGGGTGTCAGGCACAGTCAGGTGTGGCAGGGTGTCAGCACAGTCACCTGTGGCAGGGTGTCAGGCACAGTCAGGTGTGGCAGGGTGTCAGGCACAGTCAGGTGTGGCAGGGTGTCAGGCAGTCACCTGGCAGGGTGTCAGCACAGGTCAGGTGTGTGTCCTGCCCCACAGGTCCCACACTTACAGAGCTGTGCATCCTGAAGCCGGGCTCGGGCTGCTGGAAGGGGTTGGGGCTCTCCCCCTGCTCGGCCCGGGGGCTCCCAGCGCTCGCTCGCACGCGGGACAGGGGCTGGATCACGCCAGGCTTGGTCTGCTCCAGGGGCCCCGGGACAGGGGGAAAGCAGAGGAACACAAGGGGACGGAGAAAGAGAGAAGAGAAACGAGCAGTTAGGGCAGTGAGGCGTCTGCCATGCAGGTGAGTCAACAAATCCATGCAAATCCATGCACCCCCTGCTTTCCTCAGCTGTGCTGCCTGCTCCGGCTGCCAGCCACACCGGCAGGGAGAGCCCTTGGAGCCAGAACAGACCCAGCGAGGAAGGGTTACACAGGACCAGTGGATCACAGAGAAGGCCAGGACAAAAGGAAGCACCTGCCATACCAGCTGCAGCTGCAAGGGCTGGCAGGGCATAGTGAGTGCTGGGAAAATGTGAGCACCAGGGATGGGAGCCGGGAAATATGGAAGTAGGGAATTGGCAGAAGCTGTGGATGGAAGTGAACCAGATGGAGCCAGAGCTCTCATGAAAACCGTGGTTACTGAAGCAGAGGCAAGAGTCCAAAACTTCTCCTTGGCATCACCATCGCTGCTGGATGTTGTGTGAAAGTGAACAAAGCATCTGCAGCCAGAGAGAGTGGCAGCAGGGACTGGGTAAGCCAGCAAAACTTCCAGGAGGAAGCTGCGAGGGTAAACAGGAATAAAAGCTGCAAAAACAGTTATGCTGGGTTTTCAGATGGACCATAGTTAAGGCCTGATGCATTTCTACAAACGTGAGGCATGGTGGAGGACTGGAGGAGACAGAATAGGAGCCAAGAGGAGGAAGAAACAAGCTCCATGTGCTGGGGGATGCACATGGACACCACAGTCAGGTCTCAGCTGTACTCACTGATTTACTGTCATCCTGAGATGTAATGAAGTTAATGGAAGCCTGCAAACAGAAACACGGGTCAATCTGGAGTCCACCCCAAAAGCCTTTAGTTTACCCCTGCCCCACTGGCCACCCTGTGTGGGGAGCTCCAGGTCCTACAGAACCCCTGTCCCCAGTACCTGCCCACCTCCATGAGCCTCTCCCAGCACCTGTGCTGCGTCAGGGGGCCCTCACAGCTCTGCACATCTCCAAACTGTGACCCTAGCTCTGGGACAGTCCTGGCCCATGGCACATCCCCTGCTCCTGGCCCATGGCCCATTCCCTGGGCACCTCCCCTGCTCCTGGCACATTCCCTGCTCCTGGCCCATGGCCCATTCCCTGGGCATATCCCCACCCTCTCCACTTGCCCCCAGCCCCAGCAAAGCCATCCCCCCCGCAGCTCTTCCCTAAGCACTGGCGGTGCCATCCCAGCAGCAGCTCCCAGGAGCAGCCCCTCATGCCTGAGGTGCCAGGAGGGTGCTGTTCCCTGGAGAGCCCCAGGGGGATGCCCCAGGGAATGCCAGTTCCCTGTGGGGCAGTGGGAGGCAGGGCAGCAGCAGCAGGAGCAGCACACTCTGCACTCTGCACACACAGCACTTACAAAGCACTGCCGGCCAGGTGAGGGGGCCGGGGGCAGTGGGAGGCAGGGGATGCCCACTGGGATGCCAGAGGGATGCCAGTTCCCTGTGGGGCACAGGAAGCCCCATGGGAAGCAGGGCAGCAGCAGCAGGAGCAGTGCACTCTGCACACACAGCACTTACAAAGCGCGTCTCCCTGCCGGCCAGGTGAGGGGGCCGGGGGCAGTGGGAGGCAGGGGAGCCCCAGGGGATGCCCAGGGAGATGCCCAGGGGGATGCCCGTTCCCTGTGGGGCAGGAGAAGCCCCATGGGAAGCAGGGCAGCAGCAGCAGGAGCAGCACACTCTGCACTCTGCACACACAGCACTTACAAAGCGCGTCTCCCTGCCGGCCAGGTGAGGGGGCCGGGGGGCTGCGGGCACCTGCAGGGGCACGGGCAGGGGAGAGAATGGGAGAGAAAACGGAGACACTGGGTTTTCCACGGGAGAGCAGCAGAGCCACTGCAGCAGCAGGAGCTCTGGGGGGTCCCCAGCACGGGGGAGCCCCTGCCTGGCACACACAGACCCACCACAAACACCTCCTGCCTCCCCCACCCCTGCACGACTGTCACACTAATGCCAGGATAAAGATTCCATTTCCCTCAAGGAATCGTCTGAAATAGGGCAGTAAATTCTGGCTGGGCCACAAGATGTTGAAACCAAAGAATTAACATGAAAAATAGATGGAGCTAGAGAATAAGAGACAATATTCCTGGGAATTTCTGCTCCAGAGCAACAACCTAAGGTCGAGACTCCCCAGAAAAGGAGAGCTCTGGGACCGTTCAGCCTGGAGAAGAGAAGGCTGCAGGAGACCTTAGAGCTCCTTCTACTGCCTTACAGGGCTCCCAGAGAGCTGGAGAGAGACTTTGGACAAGGGCCTGGAGGGACAGGACAAAGGGGAATGACTTCCCACTGCCAGAGACAGGGTTAGAGGAGATTTTGGGAAGAAATTCTTTCCTTCAAAGGTGCTGATGCCCTGGCATAGGGTGCCCACAGAAGCTGTGGCTGCTCCATCTCTGGAAGTCTCCAAGACCTGTTTTGACAGGCTTGGAACAACCTGGGATAGTGGGAGGTGTCTCTGCACATGACAGGGGGCTGGAATGAAATTATCTTGAAGGTCTCCTCCCACCCCGCCACGGGGCCAAGTAGCGCCTTAATTGATCACCGCGAGCCCCCCGCCAGTAATTATGTTAATTAAGTGAACTGAATGAAGGCATTAATGGCTCAAAGAGCACAGAACACAACACCCCCGACCGCTGCTACCGCTGGACTGAGGGTGAAGCAGCCTCAGCGCCCCTTTTATCATCTCGGCAGCCCCGCCCCCTTTGTCTCCCTTCAGCCAATCAGGACACTGCCCGCCTCAGAATAGCTCGCCCTTTTCCCCGCCCTGTTCTTTCCTGGTTAGTCAATCAGCGCACGGGTCTGCCCACAGACACACGCGTTGGCCAATCAGAGAGCGGTATGAAAGGGGCGGGAAACGCTCAGCCAATGAGAGCGACGGGTGCCTCACGGTGAGCGCCCAATCAGAGCGCGGCGGCCGAAAGGGGAGAGGGGCGTAAAATGGTGGCCGAGAGCAATCAGGGCAGCGGTTGGAGGGGTTTTGGCGGGTCCCAGGTGGGATTTGAGGGATTTTGGGGCTTCCAGGTGGGACTCTGGGGTGAACTCTGGGGATTCGGGGGTCCCAGGTGAATTTTGGTGGTCTCAGTTGAATTTTGGGGTGATTTTGTGGGACTTTGGAGTGTTCCAGGTGAGGATTTGGGGATCCAAAGCGGAATTTTGTGGTGAATTTCTGGAATTTTGGTTGTCCCAGGTGGGACTTAGGGGGGGGATTCTGAGTTTCCCAGGTGGATTTTTGAGGTAAATTTTGGGGTCCCAGATGAATTTTGGGGTGAATTCGTGGAATTTGGAGGGTCCCAGGTGGAATCCGGGGTTCCAGGTGGAATTCTGGGGTGAACTGGGGGGATTTGAGGGAATCCAAGCTGGATTTTAGGGTGAATTTTGGGGGATCCAGGTGGAATTTTGAGGGTCCAAGGTGAATTTTGTGGGTCCCAACTGAATTTCAGAATGAAGTTGTGGGATTTTGGGGGTCCCCGTGGATTTTGGGGTGAATTTGGGGTCTTCTGGGGCATGAGCATGTGTTTTTGGGGGGGATTTGAGGAAGTCTGGAGCTCCAAACCATCCTGGGATTCTGTGAAAACCAATCTCAAAAAAAACTGGCACTTGTGGTAAAAGGAAAACTTACAAATAATGCAGCTGCTCTCAGAAATGCAATAGGGAAACACAGTGGAATAAAGTGCACTGGAATAGCTCAGCTATAACAGTATCCTCTTCTAATCATGAGCACTCAATTCTAAATGATCCAAGAACTGCAGGAGATGTGAGACAGGCCGAGAAGAAACAGAACTGGACTGGAGTGCTGCTCCTCCTGCATCCTGCATGCTCCTGAGCCTGTCTCACCTCAGCCCAAGAGCTCCTGTCCAGCTCTGAGAACTGAAATAGGTCACTAAAGACCAGGAAATGCCAGAGCTGGTGGGGAGAGCAGCTGGACTCCAAAAGGAACACAACAGACCCAAAAATGACTACGAACAGAGAACAAATTACAACTGGCAATTCACTCCAGCACCCAATGTAAAACCCACTAATAGGCAACGACCGTAAAGGGAAAATTTAAAAATCTTTTTTTTCATTTAATTTCAAAAGGCTCAACTGAGCTGTGACACCTCCTGCTGTGGGTGGACAGGGGGATCAAAGACTCAGATATTGAAAAGCAAAGTTCAGAGGTAAATAAGGACTATGAATGTCAAGGGATAAGAGGTAACGTTGATAAAGAAACAAATCATCAGAAGTTCCAAGAAACAAAGGCACTCCCCATTCCAGAGGGAAAGGCTCCAGCAAGGAGCTGTACCGATCACTCCCTGAGGGCAGGGTCACCCCGAAGTGGCTGCAGCAGGATCCCTCCTCCTGCCCAGCACTGGGGGCACCTCCAGTCTCACCCTGAGAACCAGGGATGCTCTGCACACCTGGGCACCACTGGGCAGCCCTGCTTTACAGACCCAAGATCCTTTTCCAAATCCTGACTCTTCCATTTCTTACCACGAAATTGCCAGAATTCATCTCTGTACAAGGCACTGGTCCAAAAAGACTATTCACTCACAACTATGTGCTGTAGCCCCTCCTCATCACCCTGCAATTAAATTACCCCTCAGAGCTCATTTATGACTAAAGTTTTTATTCTATTTACCCTCCTGGCTCTCTGAGACATTTTAAGGAGGGAGTTGTTCTCTTGCTCTCTGCTGAGATGGATGCCCTCCACCCTGACAGTGCCACTCAAGGATGGAAATTGCCCTCAGCTCCCTTTGTCCTTTACCCCTGGAAGTGCCTCCCTGCCCTTCACCTGTCCTGGGGACAGTCTCACCTGCGGATTACTGGGAGAATAGGGGGATTCACGCCTGGAATTTCCTGTCCCAGACTCGCCCACAGGAGCCTGAAAGAGAGAAGACAAAGCTGAAGACAAAGCTCGAGTGTTACTCTGCAGCAGGAGGGGCTTTGGGACAGCCTGGACATCCAGGGAGCAAGGTTAGCAGGGCCCAGCAGCAGCTGGCACATGCCAAAACAGCGAGGGAATGACGTGAGACATTGGAACCAGAATCATCTCCCAGTGCCCTGGAGCCCAGCTGGATCAGGTTCCACAGAACAGCCAGGGATCCTCTTCCCTGACTCCCCACATTGCTGCCAGGGATCCTCTTCCCTGACTCCCCACATTCCTGCCAGGAATCCTCTTCCCTGACTCCCCACATGGAATCCTCTTCCCTGACTCCCCACATTCCTGCCCGGAATCCTCTTCCCTGACTCCCACAGCACTCCCAGACAAGGTCATGTCCAGGAAAACCTCGTGTACACACCCTGAGCAAGAAAAGCCATTGCTGGCTGGAGGGACACAGGGCTCTGCTGCCTCCCAGAGGAACCTGAGGCTCAGCTGAGCCCAGCCCAGGAGCTGAACAGACCCAGGAGCCACCAGGAGCCACCTGCACCCCGAGGAGCACCAGGAGCACGTTTCACAAGTACTGCAAATGCCTTAAGGTAAGAGCAAGTCATTTGGGATTCAGGGAACTGTTCAGGCAAACCAGCAGTCACTAATACCACAGCCATGCACACGGTCAGCTGAAGCAAGTCAGTATTTTCACACACCAAGCATGAAGTGAGCTGAAGTTTATACTGCAGCACAGATTCCAGACACCTTGCTCTAAGCTCACCTGGCTACACACCTGTGAAATTCCCACCAGGGAACTAAAACACCTCCACAATCCCTAAGCTGAGGGTTGGGTTTGTTGATTGGTTGGTTTACCTGCTGTGTATGGGGCTGTTTTGATTTTCAGACCTCCCAAAAGGCTTAAAAAGGAAGAAGGGGAAAGCAATGTGGGGCTCATCTGGAGATTGTAATCTTTGGGTCTAGTCCCTGCCTCACCACAGGCTCCCGGTGCAACAGCAGGAATGTCAAACACACATTTCCCAGAGCAGAAAGCAAAGCTCTCCCTTGAAATTCCAAAGTCTTAAATCTACCTCCAAGTGTCACTTGGAGGAGCAGCTCCTGGGCTTTCCAGAAGTCTAAGCAGGGCTGTGCTCAGGAACAGAAGTGTGGCACCAGCACTGATCACCTGCCAGCCCAGCCACACCTGGAGGGACAGCAGGGAGGTCACAGAGGCCACCCTGTCCCCTCATCCCCATGCCCAGGGTGTGTTAGTGGCTGCAGGATGCCACGGTGGCCCTGCCCAGGGCACTGGGGGCACACGGGGTTTAGTGGGGTGAGTGCCCGGCCTGGGTGAGTGCATGCCACACGCTCCACGCTGCTTGCCTTGCAGTACAGGCTGGTCTTCAGCACGCCCCCCCTGCCATAGCCCAGGGGGGGCCCCCCCAGGCCAGCCCTGCCCGCGGCCTTGCCCCTGCGGTTGGCCACCACGAAGGGGTTCTCGCTGAAGGGGATGGGCTGCGAGTCGATCAAACACTCTGCAGGCTCTGGCAGCTGCTCCTGGGACAGGGGACACCCCTCGGGGTCCTGCTGGGGAGGCGCAGGGGGCTGGGGGGGCCCGGTCACCGCTGGGGCTGGGGACACTTGCCGGCTGTCCCACGGCACGGGAGGGGACAGCACCGTGCAGTCGCCCTCCATGCTGCAGCTGGGCTTAGTGCACTCAACAGGCTGAGAGGAAACACAAGGATCAGAGAGAAATAAGGAGAACAGAGTAAAGGAGGGAGAAAATACAGAGCAGCTGCTGAAGGACAGGGGGGAGAATTGCAGTCCTGATACCTGCACACCATCCCGACCCTCTGTCCTGCTCTGCCACCCATGTGTGACCCCCAGTGTCACTCCCAGGAGAGGACCCTGCTGTGCACACACACCCCGGGGAGCTGGCAGCACAAGGGCTCCCTGCACTGCTCCAGCTCACACACAGCTCCAGGTCCTGCAGCTGCTCCCCAGCCAAACCCAACACCTGTACAAGCACACACTGCCCCTGCTCACCTCAGCACAGAGTCACAGCTGGGGCTGGAAGGATCCTCCAGTTCAGCCCTCACTTCACTGAGCTCCAGCACCCATGACCCAGCCTCTGCTGTCACCCCAACGCTGCCACAGTCACACAACACCCACCCCATGTCCAGCACACCTGCACAGGTGCTTTAACAGCCCCAGTGCATCACCACACCCCCCAAACAGCAGAGCTCAGAGCACAGCACAGAGCACAAACCCTGGGGCAGGACTGAGGCAGTCCCAGCTCTGTTTGAGCTCAGTGCACACAGCCCGAACCAAGCCCTGACCCTTCCTGTTAATGCACAGAAGAGAGTTTGTTACCCCAGCCAGAGCCTTCCTTAGGGCAGCAGGGACAGTCAGAGAGCACAGACCACCAAAGCTTCCATCCAAGTGCCTCCAGGGAGCAGAAAGACCTCTCCTGCTCAGAGTAAATTCTTCAGCTCGTGTGTCATGGCAGTGGTCACCAAAATAGCTCTGGAGGGTGGGCTGGTGACTACAATGGCAGCTGGGAGGCTCAGGAATTTCGGAGGCCCTCCCCTAACCCCCAACCCCACCTCTGTGCTTGGCAGAGCCCTTGCTCTGCCCATATCGTGTTTCCTCACCAGTGCTACCCTGAGAAATCCTGCTGCTGTGGCTGTGTGATTTTTCAATAAAAACCCTCTTTTTTCAGCAAAAGCCCTCCTTTTAACCCCTTTGCCCCCGAGTGCCACAATGCCTGACAGTCACTGGGAGCCTCAGTCCATGTTTGGTTCTTGGACCCGACTGGAACTGGGCTGGCTCTGTGTCTCACTGTAAGCTCCAGCTCCTGCTGGAACACGTCCCTGTGAGGGATTCCTTGCTCCCCAGCCTCACTGGGGCTATTCCTGTCAGACAAACCACAATTTCTATTTTGAGTAAGCAAAAATCCGGGCAATGCAGAGAGCTTTCCCAGCTTGCAGACAGAACAGACACGTGCTACCCTGCATCCTCCCTGGCACTGAAAGAAATCCAATTTACATCTGATGAACAAGTGAAAAAAAAGAATCAACGGCAAGAAACGAAGAGAAATAGATTCAGAACAGAAAGTATAGGTTGCTAATTATCTAACCATGGTGACCTAATACTGAGACATGTCAAGTCTTCTCCATTTCTCACAGTGCAGAAAGCAAAACTAGAGTTTGATCATTTTGCTGTGATCAGTCCCTCACGGGTCTGCCTTTCATTCCTGTTAATGCAGAAGACAGAGACTGTAGCAGCTCTTTGAAATGTCAGAGAGTCACAGAATCCCAGGATGGCTTGGGTGGGAAGGGACCTGAAAGGTCACATTGTTCCACCGCCTTGCTATGGGCAGGGACACCTTTCACTATCCCAGGCTGCTCCAAATCCCATCCAACCTTGCCCTGGACACCTCCAGGGATGGGGCAGCCACAGCTTCCATCCAGAGGCTGCAGTGCACATGGCCAAAGAGCTTCCCTCAGACAAGCATTCCCATGCTGCTTCCAATGGGAATTTTCAGTTTGCCTTTGTCTTGGAGTGACTTTATGATGCTTCTATCTCCTGTTAAGTCATTTTTAAAAAATGTTCAGTTTCTCCTAAATATTAAAACAAAAACACCCTAAACACGTCTGCAAAAATTAAAAAATTAAATATAAAATTTTCTCCCAGAAATTCCTCCCAAATTTGCCCTAAACCAAAACAGGCTTGTAACAGTGGACAAGCAGAATGGGAATCTCATCAGCCTTTGCTGAATCCTGCTCACAAAGGGGCCCAGATGCAGCAACACAGATTGATCCAGGACAGACAACCAGCTGCTCCCTGCTCTGGTGGCTGTTCCTGGGGAATCCTCATCAATTCCAGCCACAGTTCCAGTGGTCAGTGGAGAGATCTGCACCTCCTGTTCCACAGTGGACAGATGGACCTGCACCTCCTCCTGCTCCACAGCAAGAGCAGCTCCCTCGTGTCACATGCTGAGGACAGGAACACTCCCTGCACTCCCTCACCAGGAACCCTGCAGCACTAAAAGACACCCAGGCACTGTTCAGAGGAGAATGTCTGTGCTGAGAACTGGCCTGGACACAGAAGAAAGAGGAAAGCACAGAAGGAACAGGACAAGAGCACAAGTCACCCGGACGAGGCTGTGCAGAGACAGACAATCTGTCACTGACCCTCCTGCTCTTCCACCACTGCACCAACCCTGGCTGAGTCCTCAGCAGTCACCCAACAGCCAGGGCAGTTCCTGGAGGAGCACCAGAACCTCCCTGTCCCCAGGATCCAGGCAGAGGCACTTTTCAAAACAGAGCAAAGGCAGGGCTGGTGACAGCTGGGCAAGCACAGGCACCCAGGGACCCTTCCCTGGAACAGGACATTTATAGAAACCATCCCAGGCCCCACATTCCCGTGCCTGGCGTTCCCAGGCTCACAGTGCCTGCAGGCAGAGCCCCAAATCCTGCAGGCACAGCCCCAAATTCTGCAGGCACAGCCCCAAATCCTGCCCTGCTCTGCTCCACACTCGAGCTGCCCTGCACAGAGGCAGCCGCTGCCTGGGGCCGACTCTGCCCCTCTTCCAGCTCCTGAGTTACGCCCAGAGATGCTAAAAATAAACCTTTTCCTGACACTGCTTCGTTGTGTGAAGCAAGAGGGAAAAAGCAGAAGCTTGGAAGTGTGGGAACAAAAGGAGGCAGAGCTGGAGCCAAAGCAGAGCTGTTACTGGAGGAAGAGAGGAAAGAGAACAGGAGAGGAGACCTGTCTGCATGGAGTAAGATGGAAACAGGAAAGGTAAAAGAGATGATCCTGAAACAGGAATGGGAATGCAGAATGGGATGATGACAGCAAAGGGAGATCTTGCTGCAACAGGAGGAAAGGAAGAAGACTGAGATGTGTGAAGGAGCAGGCAGAAACCCAGAATGGGCATGATGCAGGAAAGAGAAAAGAAAGAAAAGGAGAGGTGAGATTTTAAACAACACAGGAGAGAGGTAAGTTTGTAATCTGTGAAGTTTGTGAAATCTGGAATTCCTCTTGGCCACTACACACGAGGGACTGTCAGAGGACACAGAGAGGAACGTCCAGTGCAGGATACACAACAGGATACATGAGCCACAGGGCTCAGTCACGACACACAGCCACAGCCCTTCACTGCTGCAGGTCTGGGGAATCTTGGCTTTAACAGGATCTCGGTAGTTTGGCTTGGAAGGACCCTGAAGACCAGCCAGTGCCACCCCCTGCCATGGTCAGGGACATTTCCACCACAGCACCAGTGCAGACTCTTCCCCTCGATGGATGGCTCCAAGCACTGTCCAACCTGGCCTTAAACTTTTCTATTTTTAACACTTTCAGTTTCAGCATCCTCATCCCTCCCCCTTCCCCATCCCACAATGGATTTACAACTGAGCTGTGCACACAACACTGCCATCACTGTATCAGGAAGAATCTTCCTCTCTCTCCTTGGCAGCTTTCTGGAGCCTGTTCCTTCCACAACGAATCCCTGCACTGCCCCACTCCCATCCCCTTCTCTCCCACCAGGCTGCTCTTTCTGCCTTGTTCCCAACTCTGCTTTTTGCATCTTCTCAAACTTTGCCACTTCCCTTCCCAAAAGGCAAAGCTGCCTGGCTCTTGCTCTCCTCATTTTCTCATTCCCATCTTTCTTTCTCAGCTACCTCCTGGTTCAGTGCCCGAGTCTCCCACGGTTCTGCTTCCCAGTTTTCCTTGGCAGAGGACGCTGTCACCTCCCCCAGCACGGCACGGCTGGAGGGCAGGTGATGGAAGGAGCATGTTGGGAATCTCAGCTCCCCAGCCCTTCTCTGCCTCCCCAGCCCCCCAGGACCCCCAGGACCCCCAGCCCCCACTCACAGCACGGTTGCCCCTCTGCAGGCCACTGCTGGGCAGCGCTGCCAGGGTCCGGTAGTCCAAGCGCAGGGGTTCACTGGGGACAGTCTGGAGAGGGGAAAAAGCCACAAACAACAGAGCAGGTCAGGCCCAACGTCAGATAAATCAATGAGAAAGAGCAATGAAATGGAACCACCCCAGTAACAACCAAGGCCTTGTCTCCAAACTCATCAGAGTTCCCACTGCCTGGGAAAAGAGCTGGAATTGTTCAAAACACAACATGTGAACTCATGGCAGAGCCAGGCCTGAGAAACCCCACAGAGAACGTGTCACTGGGGCCACCCACGACTGCTCAGATCCCTCTCCTGCCCCATGTCCACTTCCTGATGGAGAGGAGAACGTGCCATACCCACCTGTTTGCTCCAACAGCCCCTGGAATGACTGACTGCATCTGGACACATGGAACAATGCAAGTCTGCCGTTCCTCAACAGTTGCTTTTTCCATCCTTAACTCATACTCACTGTACAACTTCCTTCAGTTCTGCTTCCCGTGCCTTTCTAACCCTAAACAGAAGCCAAGGTTTCTAACCCAGCCCATTTTCCTCAATCCCTTACACATTTCTTCAGTTCTGATCTCTTCTCTTATCCCCAAAGCCACATCCTTTTAGAGGAAGGAGTGGAGAACACAAGCTTTGGGGGACGAACTCTTTTTGGGAACCTTTCCAGCCCTTCCCCTGTGCTGCTCACCTCTGCTTCCTCCTCAAGCTGCTGCGTGGCTGCCTCCCGCTCCCTACGCATCCGCTCCTTCCAGGGACAGACAGAGCCAGGGCAGAGACACAAGAGAGAGCAGAGAGGTCACACATGCTGGGCAGGACTGCTCAGGGGACACAGCTCAGTGCCAGCAGCAGCACAGGGGGAGCAGAACCCCAGCACGGACACTGGCACTGGGCAAGGAGGAGCTGGGATTTGACACTTGCACTTTACTGCCAGCAGAAAGGCCAGGGACAGAACTGTCCCTGGGACACGGACAGAAGGACACCTGGGTGCCACAGGTGAGAGGGAGAGCAGGAGTCCCCAGGATCCTCAGCAGGGACAATCCTGGGGAAAGCAAGGAGAGCTACAGTGCCCCCAAGCAGGAGCTACAGCAAGGCAGAGGAGGAGTTTGGTCACTGCTGGAAGAGACACCTTGATGGAGCACAGACAGGACAGGCTGGGAGGGAATGAAAGAACAAATCCACAGAGCACAGAGCCTTGCTGGCTCACAGGATCACCTACAGAATGATGCAAGTACACACAAAGGGACAGAAGGGCTTTGGCACGGGGTCAGCTCAGTGGCAGCTGGGCTCACTCAGCCCTGCAGGGCCATTAGAGAGTGACCAGTGACTGATCCCAAAAGCCCCAGGCACAGCCTTGCTTCCAGGCTGCCAGGGCAAGGAACAGTGCAGGACCTGTCCTAAGGACTGGATGTTTCTGTGACTTGTCCCCTGGCACCTCTGGCAGAGCCAGGCCTGGGGACAGCACAGCAGAATCCTTCCCTTCTCTGTCCATGGAACCTCCCAGCTGCTCTTCCCAAGCAGGAACAGATAGTCCAGATGTGACCCTGGGAGGACGGGAGGGGGAAGGCAGCTGAGAGGGAGTCAACCAAAAATTCTGCTGAGCACCTGGGTCCTGATCTTTCAGATTCCATGGCTTACAGATTCCCACTGCCCCACATCGCCCCTGGACCTCCAAGCAAGGATAAGCAGCATCAGAAGTCACTCATGCTCTGGAGGATCACAGCTCCCAAAATGCTTTTGAAGGATATTTGAAGTAAAGTTTATCCTGAATCTGGTTATGCTTGCTTGGCCAAGAGCTCTCTGTAGGGTGAGGGTTCCAGGTGACATCGATCTGCTGTGTGACCCTGAGGTCACTTCTGAGGAGTGACAGAGCAGCTGGAGCTGTGGCACGCTCCAGATCCATCTCTGACAGGAGCTGGGAGGATCTGGATTAGGACTGGAACAGTAACTACAGCCACAGAGCCAGGAGAGAGCACCAGGAATCCATCCACAGACTCAGAGTAACTGACACTTCTACTAGAAACTGAATTATCAGAGAACTGGAGGCAAGAGATGACAGCAGTGAATGGGTTTGAAAACTTCTGCTGCCATGAGCAGAGCAAAGGCACAATTGCTCCCAGTTATTCAGTTCACAGCCTGCTGTGGGCTGGAGACACCTTTGGTCTCTACTGCTCCTGTGCAAGAATGAACATGAAACACTGAGGAGGAAGAACAATGGTCCAAAAATGGTGACAGAAATTACCAGGGATCTGGCACTGGAACTTCCTTCAGTATCCCAATGGCCACCATGGAGTGCTGGCTCCATCACTGGGATAAATTTAATCATCAAAAGCAGTTTTAGAGACATAATCCCAGATTCAAGGTTGAAAAGGCCCAGTAGAGAAACCTGTCTTTGCTCAGAGGCCTCAGGATCCCAGGAGGTTTAAGGAGCATCCACTGCTGCCTCCTCCTGGCACTCCAAGGGAAGGGGCACCAAAATAGATCAGTGTTTTTTAAAATGAGATGTGGCCAAGGATACTTCACCAATCATAAAGGGTTTTCTGAGTTTTTTTTGACCCAAGTATTTTTAAGTAATCTCAGTATAAATTTTGGCAAAGTCTTTTCCTGCCTGAACCTGGAAATGCCACCTGCTCAGCCTGAGCAGCACAGTTTGGGGCCACACTTGGTATATTCACAGGTGCCAGGAATGCTGATACTGACCCACAGTACCTGAAGTCACCTGGAACGTATTCCAATCCATATATCCATATTCAAATTCATGTACTGCCAACATGAAATGGCAGGAATATCCTTTGCTCAGATAGAAATACAACGAAATCAGATTTATTGAAACCACATCAAACCACTCTAAGTTCCCTTCCAAGCAAGGAATGAGACATTTTACAGGAAAAACCTAAATCTGATGTGAATTGCCTCTGCTCTGGGCTGAACCCAGAGAACTGCTGAGGTCCCTCCTACCCAAATTAGTCAGGGTGGTTTGGGTGGGAAGAGACCTTTCAGGGTCATCTTGTCCAACCCCTGCAATGAGAGACAAGTGGATCAGGGTGAAGATCATTCTGTAATTCCATCCAGAACTGCCAACCTCACCCTGCACTTGTGGGGCAGCAAATGTGAACAAGCTCAGGAACTGCAGGTGCAGAGAGAACCCAGAGGAACTTCAGCTGTATCTGAACAGAAACCCGACAAAACACCTGAAAAATGTACACACACCTGCCAGGAGAGCAGATTCCCCACTGCCAACACTGAAGAATTCAGTTTTCCCTCTTCTTCCAGTGACTCTGACTGGATAAATTACTGTTTTAAGAGGGATGACTGGAAACTCTGAGTGCTCAAAAGGTTTGAGTCTGCTGATCTGTTTCTGTGAAATTCTCTTTCTGTGCAAGGCTGAGCCAGTAGGCAGAGACACAAACCTCCCACAGCAAAGCAGAAAAATGACCAGGTGAAGTGAGGAGCACAAAGCTGTGACTGATCACAGCATCACTTCCGCACTCAGGGCAGCTCGGAGCTGTGTGCTCTCATCTTTGCTCACAAAAGTTCTGTCAGTCACAGGGTACTGGACAGAGAAAATGGATTAAATTTGGGACTTTGAAGCTCATTGGCCATTTTTCTTGAAGCTGCAGCTTGGCCAGGAGGTACCAGCAAGTAACAAGGGTTACTTGGTACAGGAACATCACCAGAGAGGTGCACAGGGAGGTACAGCAGAGCCAAGGAGCAGCCAGGGCAGCAGAGCAGGGCACTACAGAGAGGGAATGCCCAGAGCTCCACCCCACGGCAATGGCAATGGGGCAGAG